TTTACGGCGTGCCGAACTTGAGCCGCAATAAATTTAGTTATTTCCTATCAACAGCTTAGCTCGCCTAATATGATGTGCATACAAGCATATTGGAAAAGCATCAAGTCTTAGCTAAACTTAAAAAGCAATAAAATGTAAATTATCCCAATCGAGAAAGCAAATAGCCCTAACTTTATTTGCTTTATTGTTGATTTTTTCTTCGGTGGCTCTTTTTGTGTCCGCTATAAATGGCAATAAAAACGATTATTTTTCATTTACCTAAAACTTTTTCACTTTCCGGCGAAGGCTTAATTTATCAACCGTAACTGTGATGGTTCAGCGGTCACTCATGGTCCAGCGGTAATGCCTGCGCTAATGGTAAATAAATAACACTACCGAACGAAAAGCAAAAACAAAACACAAACATCGGACGTGAAATGGCAATTATTTGAGTTGTCGATAATTTGATGTCTATTATAACGTCACTCAGATAATGATTGATTGATGATTTGTTTTGCATTCAATTGTACATTTCGAGTATTGGTAAATTAAATCATTGCAACGATATTGATTTTGCAAACAAAACAAGTAGAACGTTTGTTTTTGAAGGACTTCAGTAAATTAATGGTTTTTAAACCTATACAGTTGGCAACTTTTCCGCGTCATTAACTTAGATTGCTTGAGAAGACTTCAAATAATGGTGGCTTAAGTTAACAAAACTTTTTCATGGAAGAAAATGAATGAATTGCATTTGAATTAGGTCTGTTGAAATTGGTTTAAATCAGTTTTTTAGAAATAAAGTTGAGAATGCGTAAAAAAGGTTTTGGAGGTTACTGGTTACAACAATCGAAATTTACTGCCTTACTTAGTGGAGTTATGAACTACCACCTTCAAAGCGCTGTGTGATTTTAGTTCTAAAGCGCTGCGCAACTCTTTTCTTTAAAAATTACTTTACTTATAGATTAGTCGTGGAGTCGTGGGCTTTATATAGTATACCTATATACTTTTATATATTGGGTAGTCGAAAAAGTGTTTTCGTATTTTGTCAATAGATGACGTTTCAGTAATCACATTGTATAGTGTTGAAGAGGTGAGATTTTAAGCATCATTCAACTAAAAAACCAATTAAACTCGGAGAAGTGGAAAAAAAGTTGCCGCTCTTCAAAAATGAGTGAAAAGAATGAAGAAATTCGCTACGGTTTGAAAATTTTGGATAAAAAGGGAAGAATGCCAAGTAAGCTACCAATGAAATTTGTGAACTATACGGAGACGATTATGTATCAGTTCGTCTAGCGCAACAATGGCTCGCTCGCTCTCTTCTGTTCTGGAAATTTCGAGATTCCGATTTACACTGATGGAATAATGTCTCTAGCGAAAAATTTACAGAAAATGGTCAACCAAAAGGGTACATATTTGTTTATTTATTTAAAAGTTTAAATATAAAAAAAAAATTGAAATTTGATTGGAAATACGAAAAGATTTTTTTCGGCTACGCAATATATAGGTTAGTATAGTAAATAATATATTTAGTAAGTATTTTTGAGCAACGTCACGAGAATTATGAGAACAATCAAGCGCGTTCCTCTAGTCTTCATTATCAGAACATTGCCTGTGCTATACGAAATAAGTAAACTGAATTGTTTTCTAGCATATTAAAGGTCTTTTATTCGAAAGCAAGAAAAAGAGCCAGTTGAAAACTGCTATTCACAGCAAAATATAAATTGGTTATAGAATTTGAAAGCCGATGAATATAAGCCGCGATGTGTTTGCTTTTAGCAGAAGGAAGACATTACTCACTGGTTTGGGATTCAACCAGATTTATGAAGAAGAAATTTGCTTTATTGAGGAATTTGAAATAGCTTGCCGAAATACAAAGGAAAATGCTAGTAATACGGAAAAATGGAAAATATCTTTGCAAGTAAAGCAATCACTTGCCTACATCTAACGAAAATCAAAATTTTTCACCGTGCAACAACTATAATATAACCGTGGTGCTGCTAACATATGTACATATTTGCCAGCGGACTTATTAAATTATTCTTCTATTTGCTATTTTTCAACTATGCATAAGTAAGAAAATTACATATTTTCCGCTTGACGCTTATGAGCTGGCACAGACGAATGCCTTCCTGCTTTGGCATTGATAATGTTGCTCATGCTGCTGTGAGTGAAGATCCCGCCGTCACAGCAACAAAGTTACACATAGCAATGTAAGCATGTACAGCTCTTGCACTTGTGTGCGTGAGTTTTAGTTAAAACTAAAAATTCACTGAATATTCATTGAGCAAACGAAAATGGAGAAACAAAAGCGCATGGGTGTGCGACAGAGGTTCAAAACATGGCAGGTATTCAATATGCACACGGTGCAGGGGTACAAAGGCCATAACACACGGTTGCATATGAAGATATGTACGTCGAGTGTGTGTGTGTTTGTGATTTAGACAGTTTGCTTTGCATACGAATTTATTACGGGTTACTCTTTTACGCTTCTACATACTGCTACTTTCTGCAGTGGGATGCTTAATTTCTGTTTGATTTTTTTGGATATATTTGCTTTTAAAAATTTGTGTGTATATCTTTGATTTTAAATTTTATGAAGGAACTTCGTCGGAGTTATTTATTGTTGCCCAGCATTGTTGTGCCTGCTCATGATGAACGACAAGCCTTTTGCGCTAGAGCTACTCTTAGCCAACTCATAAGCTTAATTGGGCCTGTGCAACCGCCATGAAACTGTAGTGCAGTAGTTTTCTGTATTGGATTCAACAGCTGCAGCGCTGCTAGCAAACCACTATCACGTTTTTGCAATTTTATCTGATGCTTTTAGGATGCCGCACTGCCGTTTTGTATCTTGCCTTGCCTTAACACTCGTTTTTCCTTCTGCTCAACAACACCAGCAGCAGACATCGGTCTAGAAAAGGCAAATAGAGCTTGGTACTTGGTTGATAATTTCATATAATAAGTGAGTGGACCTAACAGTTGTCCGCTGCTGTCACCAATTGGTTGTTGTGGCTCCTAAAAGTATGCGTTACATGAAGTACCGACTCGCTTAGTCGACAAGTAATCGAGTGCTATGCACACACGCATATATATTCCATGCATGTATGCATGTGTGTGACTAGATGGAGTATTCTACATGTATTTATGTACAGTGCTATACACCGTGCGCCTGCTAACTCATTAGTTTGGCAGCCGGTGCAAAATCTAACCGACTGTTGAAGAACTGACAAGAGTTTTGATTTAAAATTTACTGGAATGTCTGGCGGCAACAAGTAATTGTCCTTAATGGCATACTGTCGTGCCACAATCAGGCATGAAGGACTCCAGTTAGCCAGTAGCCGTCAGTGACACAGTGAACATTAAGTGACGCAGTGGGACCAATTGCGTGACCACACCAACAGGCGGCAAACTTAAAATCTTGCTTACAATACTCGGCAGTCTGTACGAGTGCCGAGCGCTTCGCTCTTAATTTATTCATCAGCTCGGTCTTACCTTGAGCGAGCGAGCGAGCGCCATTGCCACGCCAGCGGTTTTTGCAACAAGTGTGCCACTTCGACCGGAAATGAAAATTTCCTGTTATAATCCGCAGAGAGATTGTTACCTTTTACTTGAAAATTTTGCACTCATTCAAGTGAATGGCTTTGTGAAATGTGCAAAAGTGCCACGTAACAAACCCATTCAGCAACAGTCAAGCCCGTCGAACACAATAACAACAACTGAAAGCCGTTCAGTTCATTTTCTTATTTTCAACTGCTTTACAAAGTGTGTGTCACCTCTCAACCCTATTTGCTTTGATTAAAAGTTCGTCGAAGAAAAAAGCTCTTTAACCAACTGCAACCGTTATCTCGTTGCAACACACACACACACACACGCATTAGTGTATAAGTATAAGTATTAACAAATTTATTTCTATGTAGTAGTGGGACTGCATACTGCAGGCGGTAAGACAGCAAAGCAAATCGGGTTAAAGCTTTGATTTCTTTTCGTATGCAGTTGTTTTTTCTTTTTAATTTTCTACTGCTTTGCATTTTTCATCTATTTTCTGCGCGCGTGCTTTGAACATTTTCTGCAGGCAGCCAAACAAGCTGGATTTTAATGATTTCGAATTTGTTACACTCACTCGCATTGTGCTTTTACGAAAATCATTCAGGCGCACAAACACGCACAAACTCACCTACAAGCGAAACCATGTCGCATCCCTCGGCTTTAAGGTTGCTGCAATTTTTACTTCTTTTTTGTTTAATAAATCGATGCGCGCTGCGAGAGTACTCACAAGCCTGTCAACATTAATCAAATGAATGATTTTACCAATTCTTCTTCTACTTGAACTATCTGTAAAGTAGGTCCTCGCTACAAATGTTGGCTCTATTGAATGACTCAGTAACCTTTCAGTTGTCATTGTGATTCTGCAGAAACTTGCGGCTTACAGCCGGCAGTGGTGTGGTCTAATATAAGCTCGGCTCAACTGCAGCAGGAGAGAGGGAAAATTTGCTTCAATTTTAAGTCTGGCTCTGGATTTACATTTCCGCCAAATAGTTCCAACAGTATTTAGTAAATATGAGATAAACCGTACTTTCATACCACGCCCTTTGGTGAATATTTTGAAGACAAAATAACCCTTCAACAGTCAACGAATTACCAAAAATTAAATCTTTGGCAATCTTTGTAGCGTCTTAAAAGAAATATAGACACTAAAATAGAATTTTCAGTAGTTACTGTTAAAAATCTTTGTTTACGCCCGAACTTAGTTCTTACTTGTTTCTAAACATTATATTTTTCAGTTTAGCTATCACCAAATATCTCAAGAATATATTTGACGCGGCACGACGCTGATCAATCCCATTCGCAATTACAATAACAAGTATTTATTGAGATAGTGGCTAGACAAGATATCGCCAAACCCATTAATGAAGTGAAACGTTGTGCGCTTAATTGTTTATTTATTTTGTTTTTGTTGTTTGTCTAAGCATCAAAATAGGGCGGAAAAATATTTACTAAAATTCTTCAACAACAATAAGTTGAAGTTAAACTAGTTCTCTGAAATATAGCTTATCAATTTGTTGTTTTAATTTTAGGCTATTAAAGCTTTTTCAGTTAATAAAAAAAAAAATAATCTGTAACTCGCTTCACGTGCCGACATTTTATAGCAACTGTTTGTTGTTGCCGTTTTGACTTAGGCTTAGGCTGGCTTTTTATCACACAATACTTATAAAAATAACTATAAAACATTTCATTTTATTTTAAAGTAAAAATTAAATTTATTTATTTTACAATTGCTTTGTGGTTTGCTTGATCCAGGATTGGAATGCCGTAATGTCGGTAAAAACGGCTGGATGGCCATTGTTGCCACAACCACCCCAGGAGACCAAACCAATCAACTTATTTTTGTGGACTAAAGGACTGCCCGCTTGTCCGACACAAACATTATTTTCTTTCACGAGGCCGCACACCATTGTACTGAACACATCATCTTCACTCCAGCCATAATCTCCAGAAACGCATTCTTTGTAGTTTATTATGGTCACAGGTACCTTGTTTAAATTGGGGCTTATAACCACAGCAGTACACCCTGTCTTTCTTTTCTTACTCGCCAATTTTATAAAAGAAGTGTCCACTGATTCCGCCAATTTCAAGATGGCCACATCATTTTCCATGGTGACAAAATCGAAATCTACTTTAAAACTGTGCGCTTTAGTTTTGATGATTTGCGAGCCATTATTTATACCAACAGCCAATTGATCAGCATCATAGAAAGCCAAGCACGTCGCTGAGGTAACCACTGTATTTTTGCCAATCAGAGCGCCGCCACAGATTGTTTTGTTGTCGGCTGTTTGAACCGAAACGACGTAGGAGTCAGCGTGAATAGTGGCAGCACTGGCGCTGCTGACAACCACGAGCAGCAGGAAAACGTTTGAAAATTGCTTGAGCATTTTTAGAAAAACGCTTTTATTTATTATTTATTATATAGTATTTCGTGCGACTCACTCAACACGAAACTGTATATTATGGCTCAGTCCCATTTTATCGCTGTTTTATACTCTCCAAACCGCTGACAAGTTTCACCAACTGTATAGACAACTGTTTACATAAATATTTACAGTTAAATAGTATGAGTACTTAATATTTTTTAATTAGTAGTGTTGTATATTTCGGCACGAAATGCAATTTTTTCGTGCGAAGTTAATTTGTACAGGCTTTTTATTCTCGTAGGCTTTGTTTTGTAAACAGAAAAACAACTTGCTACAACTGAGCATGTGGAACAGCGGTGTATGCTGTTATTACCCTTATAGTGACCCTGGGAACTCCCTGGTGGTACTTCGCATTTTCTAAGAATGGGCTTCTCAGATGTTTTCTTTATAATGACAGAACATGTTGTGGTTTGGAACGTCAATCTGCTTAACCTCAACTCCTGGTTCTCCCATGTAATCACTTTGTTATTTATTGTTACGTGTTGTGATATAAATTAATAAGTTTTTTGCTCCTCAGAAAACCTTAAAGCATTCGTTTAGAATATATAGGTTAATCGGTCTTTCCCAACCTTGTTTCTATAATTGTATGTACATGCTATTTCTTCGATTATTATTGCTTCTTCTCTGCAAAGAACCTAATACTTTTAAGATTTGTATGGAAGGAGTATAGACTAGACCAAAGGCAAAGCAGCTGTATTGTAAAGAGGAAAGTCTACCGGAAGGTTGTAACTTCAAAGAACGCATTTTATCACCTGTAATACCTGTATGCTCTGAAGGAGCTCTAGACAGGCCATTAGTTAAATTCATCGATGCACTGCCTCTGAGATAATCCAAGCGGAAAGTTGCGAATAATAAAGGCGTCAAAGTGTTTGCGATTTAAAGGACACAGTGTGACACTTTCAAACAATTTCTTTTTGTTCTTCCTGTGAAATCGGCAAGGTCATATTTTGAGTAGTTTTAGAATGGCAACATTCTAAAGAGCGACCGCTCACAGGTATAAACTTACATACTTGTATAAAAGTGAAACTTTAAACGCGAAACGATATTTTTAAAAATTGCTGACATCTATACTCAACGAGAAATTTACCGATCAACTTCAAATTAAAACTGAGTATTGTTAAATTTACCATGCAATGACCAAAGATCTGTTCGATTGGTTGAAAATTGTCAATTTGCCGTTAAAAAAAGGAAAATTTTTTTCCTCCAAAAACGATATTGTTTTTAGAACTACGCCATTTTCGTAATTTTTGATATTTTTCAAAATTCATAGGTCATTATATAGGAAATACCTTTAAAATTTCAGCAGCGCATTAAGCCGGAAGCATGGCAGCAGTTGGGGCCGTTTTTTTCGTTCTTTTTCAACAATTTTTGTAAAAATAAAATTTAATTTAGCTAAAAATATACTTTAACATGTTCAACGAACTTTGAATTATTCGATAAAGTACTTTGTTTAAAAAAAATCGAGAAAATCATCTAATTTTTCATGGGTTACACTAGTACATCAGCTTAATTCCATTTTTTGGCCGAGATGAACATTTAAAGTTACTGTAAGCAACACTACTGGCGGGCGTATGTCAAAATGTTCTCAGCATGTATGACATCAGAAATGTCAAACGATCAAGTTGTCAGTTGTCAGATTGCCACAAAAAAAGGCAACTACGTATACTTTGCTGTGCCATAGGGCTTAAGGTTTGAACGCTCAATGCTTATGATTGTTATACCAAAGACGTAAGTAAAATTGAATTGAATGCATTTTACTGATAGGTATACTATATATACCGATTTTAATTTCAATCCGATATGTATCTAAACACTATGTGAAATTATTGCAATAGGACGCGGTGAGAGTTAGCAAAAGAAGTTGTAGAATAGCCTTCCGTGTAAAGAACAACACGGGTATAATGGAGGAGGCCTTCATACCAATTTCATCAATGTCAAAACTGATGACTTGTTATTATTAGCCTTTAGCGTTACTATAAAAATGTAAATTTTTCTTCTGAAGGTATGATTGTGGATAAACTTAATATGTTAAAGCATAGAACATGAAATGTTTTCATTATAGAAACTAATAGAAGATTTTGCTTTGCCTTACCTACTGTACAACTTGCCGCTTACAGTTTTATTTCAAATCGGTTTTAAAATAAATATATGATCACTGTCACGTGTACCCACTTACCTTAGGCGGATGTTTTTCAATGGGAGCAACTTGAAGCAAACCATTTAATTTTGCTACATACGATTCTTTGAGTTTATCTATCGTTTACTCTTATCGGCAGCTATAAATATGGCGGAGATATCTTTGGTGATAATAAGAGTGGACGCACTGCAGAAAAAAAATTGCACGTTAATGGCATCAGAAATGAAGATTACTGTTGGCAAGTTAATAAATGAAAATAATTACGTTTAAATCTATATTTTGTAATTGATTAAATAATATTTTTTAGTACCATTGTCTCATACAATATTCTTAAACTTTTTAAAAACTTTCGTAAGTCCCCATAATAATATATATTATTTCTTTCAAATTGTTTAATCAAATATATGTATACATATTAATTACGTAACCGGGTATAACGGAACATGTTATACTCTCGTAACTTGCATGAATCAAAGTCCGGGAAATTCCCTTAGGTGGCAAAATTTTATATTAAAATATGGGAGTTGTGGTAGCATCAACGCGGTTTCATCTATTAACAACTCAGAAACTAATATGGCGCTTCCTGGGTTTCATTAAGGTACCTCACATAGCACCATCAATCATATTGCGAAAAGTCAGTCGTATGTTCAATAATTCTGATATTAATTATATTACTAGATGCATATAAATAATAATATGAATAAATGTACATTTTAGTCCACATGAATTTTCAAAAATATATCCACTTTGCGAAATACTTCATTTAGTTACTTTAGACTTTTTTGTGGCTTATCTATTCCAAGATCTCAACGACGGCGTATTCGTAAAAATTGTTTATCTTGTTGTTGTACTGAGCTCAAGCGACGGAAAAATCTGCAGCAACGGCGGCGGCACTTACGCTGGCGACGGCCACGAACAGCAAAAAATCGTGTAAAATTGCCTGAACATTTCAAGTAAATTGCTTTCATTTATAATACTCTCGCAACAAAGTTGCTAATAAGAGTATTATAGTTTTGTTCACATAACGGTTGTTTGTAAATTCTAAAACTAAAAGAGTTAGATATAGGGTTATATATGCCAAAGTGATCAGGGTGATGAGTAGAATTGAAATCCGGATGTCTGTCTGTCCGTCCGTCCGTCCGTGCAAGCTGTAACTTGAGATATCATGATGAAACTTGGTACACGTATTTCTTGGCTTCATGAGAAGGTTACGTTCGAAGATGGGCAAAATCGGCCCAGTTCCACGCCCACAAAATGGCGGAAGTCGAAAACCTATAAAGTGTCATAACTAAGCCATAAATAAAGATATTAAAGTGAAATTTGGCACAAAGGATCGCATATTTTGACGTACTTTTTTTTTAAAGTAGGCGTGGCCCCGCCCCCTACTAACTTTTTTGTACATATTTTGAAAACTACTATAGCTATGTCAACCAAACTGTATAAAGTCGTTTCCTTCAGGCATTTCCATATACAGTTCAAAAACGGAAGAAATAGGATAATAACCCCGCCCACCTGCCATACAAACCTTATGTTGAAAATCACTAAAAGTGCGTTAACCGACCAACAAAAAACGTCAGAAACACGAAATTTTATGGAAGAAATGGCAGAAGGAAGCTGCACGCAGGCTTTTTTTTTTAATTGAAAATGGGCGTGGCGTCGTCCACTTATGGACCAAAAACCATATCCCAGGAACTACTCGACCGATTTCAATGACATTCGGTATATAATATTTTCTTAACACCCTGATGACATGTACGAAATATGGGTGAAATCGTTTCACAATCACGCCTCCTTCCAATGTAACGCTATTTTGAATTCCATCTGATGCCTCCTCTGTATAATATATCCATTAGGAACCAATGATGATAGCGGAATAAAACTTTACACAAATACGGTATTTGATGCGAGAGTATAAAATGTTCGGTGACACCCGAACTAAGCCCTTCCTTACGTGTTTTTTAATATACTTCATGCGACTACTCCACACGAAACAGATTGCTAAGTACCAGTTTCCTCCGCACAACGCTTTGTACTCGCAAACCCATTGACTAGCTTAACCAACTGTCTATACAAATGCTCTACAGTTAAACACAAAAAACAAAATATATGTTTAATTGTCAGCTTTGTGTACTTTGGTGCTTAGCAGACGTTTATTTGCACGAATTAATTTGCACAGCTTGTTCTATGCTTTATGTAATAGGTCACAATTTAATTAGGTACGGTAGAACTTTGCGCAATTACGCAACTTTCCGAATATCAGTCGCGCGCAATTTAGGCTGACGATCTATAGACAACTCTCTCAACAGCCAATAATCGAACAACAGCAGCGATAGTTTAAAGAAACAACCCGCAACGACGATCGGTGTATAAAGAACTGAAAAATCCACAAAGAGCACCGTAAAAAGCTTTACATTATTGCAAATTGTAAGAGTATGAAATGTTCATTTATACCGGAACTTAGGTCTCCTCCAAGTGGAACTGTTAATATAGGAGAAGCTGGGAGCTGATGCCATCTGTGAGCTGAACAGATTTGTTCTAATGCCCACTTTTCTGAGATAGAGATCTTTTGCAACAATATGAGAGCAGCATAACAACTTGACTTCATCACCATCAATAAAGTAATAAATAAATTACATCAAGTTATTATTTTTTGCTTTATTATTTTAGATATCAAGAAACGCTTTTTCTTATGTTATTTCTAAGTTTATAGGCTACTATTGATCCATGAGAGTAGGGATGCTACATCGGTGAAAACAGCTGCTTGGCCGTTGGTACCACAGCCACCCCATGCAGTCAAACCAACCAGCTTGTTGTCGGAGACTACTGGACTACCGAAACGACCAACGCAAGGGTTGCTATCTTTTACCAATCCGCAAACC